CACATTTTCTTAATCCAGTCTGTCACTGATGGACATTTGGGTTGATTCAAGACATACCAATGGCAAACAGGCATATAAAAAGGTGCTCATATCACTGATCATCAGAGAAATGCAAATAAAAACTACAACGAGATATCATCTCACCCTAATTAAAATGGCTTTTATCCAAAAGACAGGCAATAACCAAATGCTGATAAGGATGTAGAGAAAAGGGAACCCTTATACACTGCTGGTGGGAACGTAAATTAGGACAACCACTATGGAGAAGTTTGGAGGTTCCTCAAAAAACTAAAAATAGAGCTACCATATGATCCAGCAATTCCGCTGCTAGGTATATACCCAAAAGAAAGGAACTCAGTATATTGAAGAGATAACTGCACTTCCATGTTTGTTGCAGCACTGTTCACAGTAGTCAAAATTTGGAAGTAACCCAAGTGTCCATCAACAGATGAATGGATAATGAAAATATTGTGCTTATACACAATGGAGTATTATTCAACCATTAAAAAGAATGAGATCCTGTCATTTGCAACAACATTGGTGGAACTGGAGGTCATTATGCAAGTGAAATAAGCCAGGTGCAGAAAGACAAACATGGCATGTTCTCACTTACTCGTGAGATCTAAAAATCAAAACAATTGAACTCATGGAGATAGAGGGCAGAAAGATGATTACCAGAGACTGGGAAGGTATGAGGGAAGTAAGGATGGTTAATGGATATGAAAAATAGAAAGAATGAATAAGACCTAGTATGTGATAGAGCAACAGGGTGGTTGTAGTCAATAATAATTTAATTGTACACTTAAAATAACTTAAAGAGTATAATTGGATTGTTTGTAACACAAAGGATAAATGCTCAAGGGGATAGACACCCCCTTCTCCATGATGTGATGATTACACATTGCATGCCTGTATCAAAACATCTCATGTACCCCCTAAATATATATATACATACTATGTACCCACAAATAAAAATAAAAAATTATTTTGTCAGCTATTCATGAAAATATGTTTTCCACTAACACTGTAAGGATGGTTTAACAGTTGATTCATCATACAGCTTAAATTAAAAAATTCATTCGGTCCCCTGGTCTGTTCAGTACATCTGAGGTGAAAAAAAGTTCAACCATTTTCTTAGAAAAAGAATCTAAATAAGATATAAAATTTTATTCGCGAAAAGTAAATCAGAGATTGATGAATCTACAAATGCTAGGATTGTAAAAAAAAAAAAAAAAAAAAAAAAAAGCCTATTAAAGAAGCAAGATGGCATTTAAAAATATACAAATTTCAATATCAATGAATCATTTCATTTCTACAATGTCCATTTTCATTGGTAATATAATCCCTCCAGAAAGATTTTCCACGATGTGAAAATGAAATGGTAACACTATATTTATATAAATGACAGATAAAGTCTTGAAGCAAAATGAGAGTAAGATATTTTTCTCAATAATGAATTAATTATCTTTCAGGTTGAAGAACATTTGCTGTTTTTACAGGCAGCTTACAAAGATACCGTTGCTGAAAAACAACTATTAGCAAATCGGAAAAAAATGGCCAGCAGGCGCTTTCAGTGCGCGTCAGTCTTACTAACCGTCCTGGAAGATGAGAAGGCAGGACTTTCTTTGGTCTTATATCTCCTCCATAATTTCTACTGGGCGCAACAACCCCCAAGGATGTTATTTTCACTGCAGGCTGTATCATATACCTTTTAAAGCTATCTTACTATCCAGTTTCTCATTGGGATCAGTAGACATCCTATTCACATAAAGAAATCCTGTTTGAGTCGTCTCAAAACAGAAGTAACAGACTACAAGTATCTGACATTATTTCCTGATCTGAAGACATCAGCACACTTTCGTCTGATGAGGCCCAAAGTAAACCTTTCAATGAAAATGTCATTAGTTTTCCTTTTCTAGCACTGGGACAACCCAAGCGGAACATATAAAACATGGTGGAACCACAAAGGAGAAGATGTCATTAGGAAAGAAAAAGAAAATTCTCTCTTTTTTTTTTTTTTTAAGTGAAAGTAGGTTTATTAAGAAAGTAAAGGAATAAAGAATGGTTACTCCATAGGCAGAGCAGCCGAAAAAGAAAATTTTCTTTTGTTCTGTCAGCCTTCTGAACCCTTTTAGCTCATCTTTTTACTTCTCCTCTGGCTCATCTGGCTTCTCTATGGTTGAATCTCTAGTAAGCCAACTAGAATCTCAGTTTAGTTACACCTCAGCTATCTTAAGGGATGGATGCTATAAAATTCTCAAGATAATTTTAATTTAGTTTAATTTTTTAAACAAATACATATCATAGAAGGTCAAGAGGAAGGATTTTATGAAAACAGACCAATCAAAGGGAGATGATAGCTCTCAGAAGCAGTTGGATGTCCCTGAGAGTCAAGTGTATAGATTGAGTTGCTATCCCAGATGGTGAGCACCAGAAAAGAGGGCTCTTGCTTAACATGCTTTATTTATCGACCAGTCAAGCACATGCATGATCAAAGAAGCCATATATAGCCAGAGAATATGGGTTCAGAGCCCAGCTGCACCCCTTAGAAGCTCAGTGATCTTGACCAAGTAGTTTAACTTCTCTAAACTCAACTTCAAATGCGGTATCAAATGAAGTTTTCAAAGTAAAATGCCTGGTAGATAAGTAAAGATTCAGTAAATATGGGTTGTTGTTGTTATTATTGTTGTTGTTGAATACTATTAATAGTATATTATAAGAAATTGATACTTTATAAACTGTCCTGCTTTGGCTGGGCATGGTGGCTCATGTCTGTAATCCCAGCTCTTTGGGAGGCCAGGGCTGGAGGATTGCTTGAGATCAAGAGTTTAAGACCAACCTGGGCAATGTAGCAAGACCCTGTCTCTAAAAATAAATAAATAAATAAATAACTGAGCCTGGTGGCACATGCCTGTCATCCTAAGCCACTCGAAAGGCTGAGGTGGGAGGAGGATCACATGAGCCCAAGAGATCAAGGCTGTCCAGCCTAGGCTACTAAGAGAAGACCTTGTCTCTAAAAGAAAAAAAAAAATTGTCCTGTTTTACTACACAAAGGATTTTAAATGGCTGTGTATCTATCTCAGCAAATATGACACTATTAGCAAACTCAAGAATAAGACTAATTTTTCCCTCAGAAAACAGTTTATTTTTCAATATTATCCATTGTTAACTTCGATACAGCCACAGCTTGAGAACAGCAGTAGTAATTGCAATGATAGATCCAACTTGGAGATTAATTTTAAAATACCTTATGATAATATATTTTATATAGAATAACTCATTTCTATTTTAACATTTAGACTCGATGGCAAGAAACAATCAATCAAATAGATAACAAATTAGAAGGAATTTTGGGTGACATACTTCTTTCAGCAGCATGCATTGTATACAGTGGAATTTTAACACCAGAATTTCGCCAGTTGATTGTGAATAAATGGGAGACTTTCTGCACTGAAAATGGCATTTCTTTGTCTTCCAACTTCTCTTTAATTAAAGTTATGGCACAAAAATATGAGGTAATAACATATTTCTATTATTCAGTTAAGTGGCTATTATTGTTGATTTGGGTTTTAGCTGTATGTGTAGGTTTGGGCTTGGATGTTGTCCCAGAATTATTTTGATAAATGAAAATATTTTGTTAATAGTTTGTTTCAGGTCTTAATTTTTTTTATTTATAGCCCTAATGCCTCAATAAGTTGTATCTCTCCTGTTTCTCATACTGAGCAAAAGTCACAAAATATCTCTTTTCCCACCGTAATCCTATTACCCTGTCTCAATGAATATAGGCAATTTCTCTCTCTGAAACCTCTTTCATTTAATACAATTGAACTTATTGAACCACAGGGAGTGTTCTTAGACACAGCCAAAAATGTAGAACTACATTTATTAACTTAGATACTTATTGTCTGTTTATGTAAATCCTATGCTGATGTTTAAAGGATAAAAGAGAAATGCACTTAGCTTTTGTTAATCCTCCAAGAGTAATTTTAGATTGGATCCCCACTGATAATTTCCCTTAAATTGACCATGCAACCTACAAAATCTTAGAAACAAATACTGTCTTCACATTTTCATAATGCTAATAACCAATTTAAACTCAAATATAACAGTTATTACATTAGGTGTAAATGGACTAAATGTTCCAGTAACAAGTCTAAGATTGTGGCCAGGTGCGGTGGCTCATGCCTGTTATGCCAGAACTTTGGGACGCCCAGATAGGAGGAACTCTTGAGTGTAGGAATTCAAGACCAGCCTGTCTCTACAAAAAAATAAAAAAATAGCCAACCTGGGCAATGTAGCAAGACCCTGTCTAAAAAAAAAAAAATTACTGAGCATGGTGCCACATGCCTATCATCCTAAGCCTAAGCCACTTGGAAGGCTGAGGTGGGAGGATCACATGAGCCCAAGAGATCAAGGCTGCAGTGAGCTATGACGGTGCCCTTGCATTCCAGCCTAGGCTACTGAGAGAAGACCCTGTCTCTAAAAGAAAAAACAATTGTCTTGCTTTGTTACACAAAGGATTTTATCTATCTTAGCAAATATGACACTATTAGCAAACCCAAGAATAAGATTAATTTTCCTCTCAGAAAACAGTTTATTTTTCAATATTATCCATTATTTACTTTTGTACAATCACAGCTTGAGAACAGCAGTAGTAATTGTAATGATAGATCACAATCATTGCAATGATTGCACGTGCACAATGGTGGCACATGCCTATAGTCCTAACTACTTAGGAGGCTGAGGTGGAAGGATCACTTGAGTCCAGGAGGTCAAGGCTGCAGTGAGGCATGATCATGCCATTGCACTCCAGCATGGGAGACAGGCCAAGTCTCTGTCTCTCTCTCTCTACATATATATATGTGTGTCTGTGTGTATATATTTTATATATATGTATACATATAGCATATGTGTATACTACATATGTAGAGAGACCTCAAGAAATCCTCATAAAGTTATGACTATACATATATACTATATATACACATATATACTTATATATATACACACATATATACTTATATGTATATATACACTTATATGTATATACATATATACATATGTACATACATAATGTATATACATATATACACATATATACATATGTACATGCATGTATGTGTTATGTGTGTACATACATATATATGTATCCCTATATGTATACATACATATATACATACATATATTCATACTTATACATATATGTATATGACTATATATGTATATATGTAGAGAGACCTCAAGCAATCCTCATATATAAAGTTATAAGACTGTATAACAGTATAAACCAAAGCACAAAATAGAAAACATACATTATTTATAAAATAAAACATACGTTATTTATAAAAGACACATCTAAAACATAAAGAAAAGCTGAGAGTCAGAAATGGGAGAGTGTTTACCATAGATTACAAAAACAAAAGGACAACATAGATGTTAAGGCATAAAAGGATTACTAGACTTAAGCTCACTTTACAATAGGAATTGGTTTAATTCTCCAAGCAAATGTGAACAATTCTAAATTGTTAACCTAATAGCATGATCTCAAATAATATAAAGCAAATATTAAAAGAACTATAGGGAAAAAATAGACAAATCTACAATCATAGTGAAGGATTTTAATACCCTTCTTTCTGTAACTCAGAACAAGCACACAAAATCGGTAAGAATAGAGAAGCTTTGAACAACATGATCAGCAAATGGACTGAATGGGAATAGAGCACCGTAGCCTATACCTGCAGCTGACACATTATATGCAAACACATACAGAACTGCCAAACTGACCATATAACAGGCCACAAATCAAGTTTGACCAAATGTCAGAGGACTGAACTCCTACAGAATATGGCATCTGATCAAAGTGCAGTTAAGCTAAAAGTCAATAATTAAAACATACTTTGAAAATCCCCATATTTTTGAAATTAGGAAATATACTCCTAAGATAACCGCAGAACAAGATTGAAGTCAGAAACTTTAAAATGATACACTGGTGAAAGATTTTCTTTTGAGATTGGGAAGATGACAAGGGGATGTTCACTATCTCCACTTGTGTTTACTGGAGACTCTGGGCAGTGAAGTAAGGCAAGGGGAAAAAAGATATTAGCATTGAATAAAAACATAAATTTTTGGAGGTGATATATTATGTATTTATAAAATCCAAGAGAACCTATAGATATATCATGAGAATTAATAAACATTTAGCAAACTTTCTGAAATTAACAAAGTCAAATTGCCTTTCTCTTCAGCAGCAGTAGTGTACAATGTTTTTAAATACCAATGACCTAAAATGGTATCTAAAACACATCTTTTGCACATCAGAATGAATCTCAAAAATGTGAAAAATTTATAGAAAGAAAACTATAAAATACTAAGATGCATTTTAAGAAACTTAAATAAATGAAGAGTTATACCAAGTTCATGAATTGGAAAACTCAATATTCTAAAGTTACTAGACTGACCTATAGATTCAGTGTAATCCCATATATATACACACATATATACATATATACACACACATATACTTACACATATATGTATAAGACTACACATATATATGTATATATGTAGAGAGACCTCAAGCAACACAACAACATGAATTAAAGCCAGACACAGAAAAAGATGGAAGATTTCACTTATCTACAGTTCAAAAATAAGCAAAACTAAACTATCGTGTTTAATAAAGAAAAGCATAAAAGTCTGGAGAATGATTCATTTTTGAAAATAGAAACTCTTCTTTGCTATTGGGCTCAGGGCATGTTTCTCTCACCACAATCATGTTTACTCCTGTCTTCTTTGCCTGTATTCAGATGCAATCTACAC